TGCTTGCCCAGGACGTGTGTCTGCCACAGCAGCTCGCTCTTCACCGGCGCGTTGCACAGCGTGCAGCTCAGGTGTCCCAGGCTGTTGTACGTGGCGGCCGCCGTTAAGGGAAGCAGAGGGCTGGAGTGTGGAACCTCACCTCACTCACCTCACCGCCCCGCCACGGCCGCCCCGTCCACCAACCGCCCCGCCCCCCCGCGCCAGGCCGGCCCCCGAGACGAGGGCCGGGGACCCCCGCTGCCGAGGATATTTGGCGAAGGGCGAGTCGATCCGCTTCTTTCCCGCGTTCTGCCGCTGCTTCTCCCGCATGAGGCGCCGCAGCTCCTCCTGCCGCACCTGCTTCCGACCCGGGCCCAGCCCAGCCGCCGCCATCTTCTCCCGGCGAGCAGAGCGAGAGGGGCGGGGCCGGCGGCCAGAGCGAGGCTACGCCGGGTGGGCGGGGCTCAGCCTGGAGGGGCGGGGCTTCCCCTTTCGGGGGCGTGGCCAGAAGGGGATGCCCCGCCCCCGGCGGAGGGCGGCGGTAGTGAAATATGGAGGCAACGGAGCAGAATTAAATTCTCCGGCTTGATCATGTTTTTCGGTAGTAAAGCCTTTGGGGCGCACGTGGAAACGAGAGGGACACTGTTATCCAGCCGTTAGGCCACGTCTCTTAATAAATGCCCTAAAAAGTGCCACCAAACCTGCCCAAAATAAGTACAAAAATTAATAACAACCTCCCCCAGCGTATCCCTTACACCCCGATCTGGAAACCCTCAGTGTGTGACACAACTGTGAAACACACTCTGAAATAAAAACCATTGTCTTTATGCCTGGGCTCGCCTCCAAGGCCGGTGCTGTTTGCAGCTGAGCCCCTGCAGCCCATGGGATGGGATGGGATGGGATGGGATGGGATAGCACACACCCCATGGCCCCACAGCACAGGGACTCACTCTCCCCACCCAAACACCGCCCACCTGCAGCACTCAGTAACCACACCACCACCAAGGCCGGCAGAGAACGTTCCATACTTTATTTTTACCGTTCCATTTACGACAGTACAATAAAATAAGTTAACTAAATAAAAAAAAAAAATCTAGCCCCGATTCCACGGTGTCAAGTGCTCTGCTCCAAACTGCCAGCGACCCTTCAACAGTCAAGGTGGTGTTACTCCAGGCTGTCAGGAGGACTTGTGGCACGGAGGACCCCGCTAGGAGCAGCCCATTTCACGCCGCCCCACGACTCCAGGGTGGCTCCATCAACACCGGGTTTGGTTCCTCTCCCACGGAGCTGAGGGAAACAGGGGGTCCAGGGAAGCGTGTGATTCCATTTCCATTTTCACAAAATACAAAACTTTGCAGTACAACATTTTGCCAGGATGGCAAACCCCAGGTGTGTAAAACACAGCCAGAACAGTACGGCAACCAGAGGAAGAGGATGGGGTAAGTGCAACGAAGGCCAGGAGGAGTCACTTCTCTGTTGGCATCCTCAGGGCAGATGGCTGGGGTGGGGAAACGACTCTGTAGCAGAACAGGCGTCCCAGTACACCCAGGGTACACAACCAGCAAGTGTGTCTTAAGCTTGATCGAGATCTATGTTTGCCTTTACAAATTCTGAAGAATATTTAAAATCTTCTCTTCCTTCCCCTTCTGCCTCACTTTTCGAAAGCACGGAACTTTGCTTCTACTGAAATTTAAGGCTATCATGAAAAAATTAAGTGTAGGGCTCCTCCTTCCAAACTAAGTAGAAAAGTCAATCCACTCTGGAAGGTCTTGGATAACTCTAAATAGAACCATCCATTTTCCAAAACCAAACAACTCATTTTTATATTTGGAAGACAAGATTTTTTTTACTGCAAAAGTTTGTCTTCGTTCACATACTTTTCTCCTAGAAACCAAAGACTGATACCAGGAGTTACCGCTGTGAGGTAACTCACACCCTTTGCTGAATCCAGATGCACTGGAGGGAGAGGTTCATCATCACTTTCTTTGCCTCCAAGTACCAGATTATCAACAAAATCTACTATGGAACACCTTAAAGTTACTCCAGCTGGCTTTGAGACAGGCTGAGAGTGTACTCACAACAACCACATCTCAAGAAGCAGCAGTTTCTGGGAAGGAGTCCTGGGAAGACAATGGCTGTCTATAGCCTTAGTGTTCTCACCCAAGAGAGAAAAATAGGAAGGAGCAGCAGAAACGGACATAGTCCTAGCCATGACCACAGCCCCCAGCTCTCTTCATGGCCAAGAGGATATTTGCTTATTATACGTGCACCTGTGAAAGTTCAATGCATTAGAGGACTTAATTTGAGAGGGTGAGGATCCTCTCCATCACAGGAAAGTGGATGCTTTTGCATCCTCTGGATTAGGCAACAGCGTTGCTGGTGGTTTAAGAGTCAACTGAAGCAGCACCAGAAAAGGTAGGGCTTCACAAAAATGGCTACAACTAACTCTTCTTCCTCCTCACCTTAAAGTGCTGGGAAAATGCAGCATGACCAGACAGTAGCCCAGGAAAAAATATCCAGTCCTACCAAACACACCATTTCCTAACATGATATACAAGCTTCCTGGGAGTTTAGACCTTAAAATCCTCCACAGATGCTGCTGCATATGGAAAAAATACAACCTTGAAGAAACTGGCTAACATTACAAAATAGGGCAACTCAAATCCTGGTATGGTCAAAAGGCATTTTTAGAATAAAAGTGACCCTTTCTAATGCAGGGCTATCGCTTCATTTCTCCAATGGCATTTTTCACTAAAGAAATGCTCCTCCAAGTACAAACATCAAAGGTAATACTTAAATAATAGTACTTTTGGTATTATTTAAGGTTTATAATTTACTAGAAGTTAACATTTTTTTTACACACATTTCCTATTTTTATCTTAAAACAGTCACATATGGATAAAGACACTCCACCCAAGGGCCATTCCTAAATGTCCTCAGTCTGATTATTTTGAGACAAAGGAGCTTTTCTTCCCCCACAGAAACCAGCTCCTTACCAGCCAATACTTCACCAGCCACCGCGTATATGACTGACCCACTGACCAGAAGATCAGTGAAAAAGCAACTCCCACTATAGGTACATTATCTACGGGATCCGACCAACAACTGCAAAGTTGGCTGCACCTGCTGACAGTTACTATCTCCTACAAAAGCTTATCTTTCACCTAACAGAGAAGGCTAAGCATGGCACACTTCTGACTGTGAGAATCAGTCATAATCATCAGTCGCACAGCATTGCTAAAATAAAGTTGTGTCACTTTGTAACATGTTGTAAAAACTCACTGACTGCCTTCACAGACTAGAAATAATCACTGCAATTTTCCATTAAATATAGCATCATGAATTCAGTGAAATCAGAAAAAAAAGTACAAAAAACCCTTTGAAAGCAGCTCCTTAGTTATACCTTACTTGAACTGAACCCTTGCTATATGAGCAGCATGAGTAATCTCGTTTCATTTCCCACCATAACTCAAGACAGAACACAAACAATAAAAAATAAGAATAATCTATAAAAACCACAGTACATCAGAAATCCATGTAAAAAACATACATCTGTATCAAGGAGCTCAGTAACAACTTAAAGCACCACTCAAAAATAAGTACCATACATGTTACAGTACATGCCATTTATTATGACAATTTAAGGCTAAAATAGGTATGACTTCCTTATATTTAAGCTTTCTTATATTTATAAATGCATACAAACATTAACTAGATACAAATATGTAGGGGTTTTTTTATTGCTCTGAACTGTCTACTACAATATTTGACTTTCACAGATGTCATCTCAGTTTGCCTTTTTCAATCAAGCTGAAGTCCTACAATTGCAACTTATGGCACTTACATGATTATAGACCTTCTTTGATTTGAGCTGTAAATAAATGCAAAGACATATCAGACAAAATTGCCCATCACTGCAAACTTTGTAATTTAGTTAACTAAACATATGCCCATAAGATACGTAACAATTCACCACAAAGATTACTTCTGTAATTCTTCAGGAAGGATTTTCTTTTCAAAATAATAGGTCTAACCAAGCGGCAAACATAACAACCAGCAAGAAATGATTGACTAGTACCAGTCTAACAGACTGGGCTTAAAAAAAGACCAAAAAGCTGAATACGTGCTCCAAAACAAAGAGCAAACTTTTCTTCCTGCTCATAGAGCAATTACGTTTCCTAATTATGTAGGGCAATGCCTCATTCTGCCAGCGCCAAATTCTTTGACTGCAGCTTGTCCATTTCTTGACCAATATTTCCTTCAACAGTATCACACTGGGCAAGAAAAACCTAAGAATAAGAAACAAACAAATGTTATTGGGGATGTACCTATAGCAACTGTAGATCCTTCTTAAGAACAGGAACTGCAGTTTCCATCATGAATTTGAAGCCAACTCAACAGTCGCTTTCCAGTCCAGTTTTAGTAATAACTTATTTACAATTTTTTTTTACCCAGAATCCAATAGAAGCATGGTATCTGCTAAGGCAACAAGGTGGCTGCCTATCCTCACCAGTCCTTCAGCTGAAGCTCTTTGAGTTGATCCAAAGTTCATAAACAACAAGGATCATAAAGGTTCAGACAAATTAGTGCTTCAGTTTGGAACGTGACTTTTAAACTCTTCTCTAAAACACGTACTTCTGTAGCTGAGGGTGGGAGCAACAAACCTACTCAGTGAAATCTAAAACAAGCTTTCATTATACCAAGGCCTCTTCTATTTCTCAGAACTACAGGGCAGCACGAACCCCACCTTAATGAGTAATTAGCTGGTGTGCCTCAAAAGGCAGAAGGCTCCTTTCCCAAAAGGGCAGTCCACAGCACCTTAAGCTTTCTTAGAACCTGCCCGCAAGTGCTTACAAGTGTAGCAGCCTGCCCACAGCAGTCACTTAGCACTTTGCTTGTGCTGTGCACAGCACAACGTGCCAGCATTTTAAGCCAATACATTCTTTCAGGCCAACTGCAATATACATGAGTACACCGTAGTTTCTGAGCAGATTCTCCTGCTATCTATACACGCCTTGCACTCAGTTTTGCTATATCTGCACTAGACTTTTAATAGTCAAACCAGATATTTAATGTTATTTACATTAAAATGACATTAAGAAACTTCTTTCCCTCTAGAGCAGCAGACTGTTGTGCCAGGTGAATGTTTCTCAACTATCACACAGTTTTGAATTGTCTGTCTCCAACCAATCCCTTGAGCCAGCATCAACTCACTTCTGTAAGGACTTGAGGGATGGAAAAGCAATGGTGTAACAACTGCGGTTGCTGGCTGCAAGTGTTTTATACCTGTGTCCCCATTCTGGAAGATATGCAATTGCCAGCATCAGAAGGTAATTAATAGCTCCTTCTTGCTCTCATGAACACTTAAGAGCATAACTTGTCATCATTTTCTCGCTCTGGAAAAACAAATTGTTGTTGAATGCTCTGGCCTGAAACCCCTTAGATTCTTCTGCAGTCCTCAAAGGATTTATAACCTACAGTTGCAGAACATTCTGCCTATAAAAGCACAATAATTCTGATCTCCACTCAACAAAGCCTGTTTTATGCTTTAACAGCAGTTCCTATACACAGCACCACTTATTTCTGCAATAACTTCACCCAAGAGTGGAGCTCCATAGCTTGCCAAGAGAGCAATAGCAATACCTCTCTTACAAATTGTTGCTGCTTTGGTGAAGCGCATGGAATGAAAGGCACGTTCAGAGCATGTAACACAGCTCTGCCAGCAACCAAAGGGTTTTGTCCCTGAAGTTATAACACTTCTACTATGAGGTAACTACTTGATAAGGCTTCCTCTAAAACAGATGGCTATTTTAAAAAATTTGGAAAACATTTATAGAAAGTATTTAATAAGTTTACAATAAAAGACAAAACATTTTAACCTCCATATATGAATGCAATGTACTCTCACAAATAATTTTTTTTAGAAGTCTAAGCTGTGACTGAAGCACGATACATCTAGCATAACACAAACAAAAGCAGCAATATGAGCAGCATTACCACTCACTTATGGAAGTTCAGCTTTTGGGGGAGGAAGGCAGAAGGATGAATTCCAGTATTTAGTAACAAACCTTCAGTTCAAGGTCTCTAAGGAAACAGTGCCTAGGAATTTTTAAGCGTCATACAATGGCAAAGCAATTAAAAATCCCACCCCTACTAATGCTATTTCTCTGTACAGATTTTACTTTAAAGACTCTTCATAGAAAATTGGTACACTGCAATAAAATCTAAGTTTTCCAAAGAACACCTCTAGCAAGGTCCAGCAAGAGTTACATGCGTCTTTGTGCCCAGACCTCATTCATTACTCCAGCCCACCAAGACATGGGAAAGCAGGAATCACCCTCTTTTCCTTTCAAGTTATCAGAATTACTTTACATCATCAGGTAGCCATAAGGCCAAGCACTAATGTAAATTACAAGCATTATCTGAAAACAGCATGAATTATGAAAACACGTATTTTTGTATAATGTTTTATAAGGTTATTAAATACCTCTTAAAGGGAGGTCCTATAAAATACCAATTTAAGAACATGCACTGAAAAAAATCAAAGCTTTAAAAGATCTCTCATTTTCACAAGCTCTTGTTATTCAACTATCCAGCATTAGTGGAAAACAAAAAAAATAAAAATACTTACCTGAACCCTTTTCACCAACCCCTTCTTTTTCAGTTTGCAATCACTGAAATTCTCTGGCAGATTCTGCAGTAAAATAAACAAACAAGTTGATGCAGCTTAATCTTGAAATTGATATATTAAACTTACAGCAAAATTCAAATGTATCAAAGAATGCTCCTAGCAGGCATCCTGAAAATGCCATGCCTGCTCAGAAAGGTTGGTTACACAAGAAAGAATTTAAAAGAAAAAGTTGTAGGTTCAGTAAGTCTGGAATATAGCATGGTAATTACAAAGCACTGAGCTGGCAAATTTACCACATCTTCTGGTAACATACAGCAATAACTGCATATATTGCTTTTGTCTACTGCAGCATATATTAACTGTTCTGCTGAGCTTCAACTTCAGATCTTTTCAGAGAATGTAAGATGAATTAATTTCTTACAAACACACTAACTCAATCATTCGCCAATATTAGAACATATCAGTAACACAGGCATTGCCAGTCTGTTTAAGCTGTACATCTGATCTTCTCTGCAATCTACTCATGGAACAAAACAGATGCAAAGTGTTACATGCTGACAGCTTTTAATTTAATTCAAACTATGTCATTTTCCATACTCCTACCACCCAACATATTCATGTATGTCATCTTAGCAAATCTTATATGCTTTGTCCTTTTGGAGCAGTGTGAAATTGGGGTGTTGGTGGGGAATGGTGCTCAGGTTTATGATTTTTTTTGAAACAGGTACAACAGATGATTGTCATCATATAAAGTTTATGTGAACATTCTTAGAAACATTATGCTCTCACTGTTGAAAACACGTAAAAATCTTGACGTTTCTCATAGTATACCTTTTATTTTCCACCCTACTGCATACCAACAACAGAGGTTTCTCTATACTACTCTGTTTTATTTCAGCTAAAATGCAGGCTCCCCTGGAATGTTTAGATACATGGTCTTTGATAACAATAAAAAACTAAAAAGTTGCTTTCTTTTAGTGTCCAGCCAAACATACATGGTCTTAAATGTAGGAATTAAAAATACACAAGACTCCACACTGAAAAACAGTCCATCATGGGCAGTGAAACTACTGGCTTCCAGAAAGATTCCAGGAGATTCCAGGAAGTTTGGGGACCACACTGCTCCAGTATTTGTGCAGTAATTAGCACACTGCAAGTGATACAAGACAAAGAAATAATAATCAACAGGCTTAGCACGCATTTCTAGCATTCTGGGTGAGGAGAAAATGGGCACACAACGGAGCAACCTGGGACACATTCTTACATTTTACCTATACATGCACTTCTGGTTTAAAACACCTCTCATTCTTTCCATGCTCAGATGGAAGAATGCATGCATAATGCTGCTTCTCATCTGTTAGGAAAGTATGAAACTTGGATGTGGGAGTAACTACTACTACATTAACCTCTTCCCAGGATCAGGGGTTTTTTTTCATTATTTTGTTAGTTTGCAAGGTGAGTAGAAGAATCTTCTGTAGTTCCAGCTTCCATTTCTGTTACTCCAGTCCCAGTTTTCCCAAACAGCAGCACTGTTAAACTGTACAGAACTCGTATCAACTTTTAACACTCCCCTTCAAGATCAGAAAAGGTATCTCCCTTGCAGAGAGCTTTTCTGTCAGACCACACCTCCTGAAACAGAACCAGAAACTGGACTTACTGCTTTCAGGTGGAAAGATGAGTATCAGTATCAGAGGCACAAGAGTTTGCGGATTAAGGAAGATATCCTTCTGGTGCAGTGCAAACTGGTGCAGTGTTATTTTACAAACATAGACAGAAATAGCTAAAAACTAAAAGTTACATTGTTTTTTTGTTTGTCTGTTTTTTTAAATGGATGTTAATCCTCTTAATACCAAAACCACTCTTCAGTTTGTTCTAAGATGCATTCCGTCACCTATCTATCTTTTCCCACTCCTCTCATTTTGTGAGAAAAAGGAGAAGTAGCTTTGAAAGTAAATTACCAGGTTTAGCTCCAGGAATCTGTCACGCACAACGTGCTCCTAGAGGAGCCCGTTCTACACTGGTCACTTTCTTCATTTATGTAATGACACCTTACATCCTTAGATTTATAGCACAGGATAGGTTCAGAATTTGTTACTGCATTTTCAACAACAGTCTGTCTGAAGTGAAAACTCTCTTCTACAAGTTGCACATGTCCATTTTCCAAAGCACAACTTTTTTCAGTTGTTCATTTTGGAATCTACTTTGTTCTTACAAAGTGTATTTTCCGATACTGCGTACTGCGATAAGCCCTTGCTCACTGTAGCATGCTAAACCCACGTCTCCTCTCAGGAGGAGGAGACACTGTGAAAAGACTGTGCTACATGCTCTTCTTTCAGAAACTGAATGCTCCAAAGACATTACAAAACAATTAAAAAGTTAGTTTAAAGCTGTGGGTGAATTCTCTTCAAACACTGGTTCTAGCTCACAAATAAAAAAGGTGGCCTTTGGAGTATTTATAGTCATCAGATGGACAAAAACGTTTTTAAAGGTATTATAAAGTTGTACGAAGTATTCTAAGGGATCTTAGACATGGGATCCTGCAACCACACATGAAAACATTCCAAATTTTCCCTTGGTTTTCAACAACACAATTCACTTTTTAAAATTAATAAAATATGACAAGAAACACTTAACAAGATTATTTGATGTGTACTACTTTGACTCCATATATGCAATAGCCTGAAAGAACCAAGATGGGTTAGGCCTAATTATTAATGGCTGATTCTTATCAGAAAATGAAGATGCTATCTCGCTGTCACAAAAATTCCTTTATACCTTGAAGTTTTCTTGGAATTTTTAATAATCAAATTAAAAGTGAAATTATGCACCAGCTCAGTTACACTGCCTACCTCCCTTTGCGGAGTACTTATTTCAGGCTGTACTTTCTGAAACAGATTCTGCCCTATGCAAGTATTCCTACCATTCTGAAATAGCAGACAGACCTAAGTTAACTTTTAACAGCAGACAGGAAACTCCAGCTGAGCTTCCCACACAAAGTCTGTTTCTAAAACAGATACTGGTAACTGGAGGAAACTTCAAAATCTGAGTGTAGAGAAGACATTCAGACTACATCTATTTTTGATAACATTTTTCAAAACTGCTGTTTTTAATTACATTTGTGCATGAAAACACCTATGTATGCTTGCACACTGTCATAGCTTTTTCTTTTTTTAAAATCACACTTTGTAATCCCCCTGGGAGAAACATGGAACTGGAAGGCCTAAGCTGGAAGACCAAGCTGCTTTAAAGGTGTTTTGCAATCAAATTAGTAAAGTTTACAAATCTTAACATTAAATTAAATCTCAGTCTCTCTGTTTTACCTTAGTCAGCTTTACGTCTCCTCTCCAGGAATACGTTGTCCAACTATTCAGGGTTTAACAGGTGAAGCTGGCAATAAACCTTAAGTCACAATAACATTTCACTATTTAATTAAAATCAAATTTAATTAAAGAAGGAGTAGCTTAAGCCTAAGCAGTGCTTATGCAAAACTCTTGCCAAATCTACATTTTGGTGCTAGCATTGCTTGCAGAGCAGTAGCTTGGATTAGCATTCAGCTTTCCACTGCATAGCGTAGTCTCACTGTCACAGCAGGTCTCCTCTTCACATTGCACTGTCTCTGTGACAAAACCCTGCTCAAATCTGTGTCATCTCAAACTTCAAAAGTGATGCAGTGCTGACTTCATCCCACCAGCTTCTATAGAACTCCTGGGCACAGGTTCTTTATCCTCCCCCCATCCGTCCAGAAACAGAGCCTGATAGCAGTGCCTATCTCCCACCCCACACCCCTGAATTGAGAGTTGTTTAATCACATCAAGAGTTTTCATCCTGCAGATACACTGACAAGACGCGGACACACGTTACATCCTTGAAGGCTCATGTTTTGTATGCAGAACACTCATGCTTTATACAGGAAATCCTTAAAACCAAACACCATTTACACAATAATAAATTCATGTGTGTGCATTTTCCTGCCTCTTCATCTTCTCTATTCTTGAGTGTTCTTTTAACTATGGAGCCAGTGTCCCTCTCTCCTGAGCACTGCTTCTTACCAAATACAGACTCTTTATCATTTCTTTCCCCTCTCCCAGCGGATCTCCTAATAAAACCACCTCCCTTTGCCACAGAACATCACCTACAGCTCTGCTCAAGTTCTGTTTGTTTTGGAAGTGCTTCTAGTAACAATTTTTAAGTTTGTTGCCACCACATCTTTATTCACTTTGGTTACCTCTTATTTCCCAAACCTTAGACCCAGCAGGTAATATCTGCTGCCTGAATCCACTTACAGCAGTGCAGTCAGCTAATAAACAAAACAAATGCTTGTCAAATTTATTATTTATGACTATCTTATCAGAACCAAAGGGATATCATTCTTAAAATAGGCAATCTCCTACACTAGCAGGAATAATAGCTAGAAACATTTTTGGTTTGTTATCAAATTGCTTAAAAAAATAAAAAACACTCTGTTAAACATGGCACCAATGCTAATCAGTTGCAAAAAAAGAATTTTTTTCTGACACCTCATCCCTCTAACAAGAACCTTTCTCATTACTTTAAGAAATCCAAACCAACATATAGTATTTCAGTGTCTAGTTTTTATTGACTAGCAGCCCTGCACTTTAACTTATTGTTAAATAAATTGGTTAAATTGGATATGCAAATTATGTTGACACTGATTCTTTTTCATCTAAGTAGACATCTGAGCACCTTCTTTAAGAGCAGCTATTAGACGGCAGCGCTTGTCAATGCATCTTCTGAATGCAGAGTGGTAACTAAGTGCTCTACCCTCACTGAGGGATCATAGTATTTTCACGCTCCTTGTGCTTTAGAAAAAATTTCCCCCAAAGCTTTGGTTTTACATTTATGATTCACACTAAGATATTGAAGAATTATAGTAAGAAATGTTTATCAAATGTTTATTTATCCAGATAAATTCAAAGGTTTACTAATAAGTTCTCATCTTACTGCAAGAGGCAAAACTTCCCAGAAGCCTGGGCAATGTTTGTTACAGGCACTATGGGTTTGGGTTTTTTTTCAGGATACTTTTTTCTTTTAATCCTTAACATGTTAATTTGATATTGATTTACCAGACAACAAGTATAGAAAGGACAAGGAGACAGTGAAAAAAGCTTCATCAGAACAGTACAGAAATTAAAGTAAGTTTTACAGAAGAATTATAACCTAAATAAATCCTCAAGAAAGGAGGACTGGCCACAAGAACATGATTTTGAGTCAGTAATGTTATCAATGTCCTCAATACTGATACATGCAATTTGAGAAATGATTTTGTCATTCATTTATGTAAATAAAATCAGTGACTGGTATTTCAAAAGAGAAAGGTGGGTTTTTTTCCAGTTCTTAGAACAATCTGTTCTCTGCAATATTGCCTATTAGATTACAAATCTGCCATTTAATAAGAAATCATAATGAGAACAATGTAGCCTCTTAGACTGCAATACTGGTGACATGTGTCATGACTGTGGATTTAAATTTTCCTACCGATCTCAGAAAATCTTTCATTTTTTCTTGAAAAAGCCTTTCGGTTATTTAAAAGACTATGCCAGTTGATCAAGTTAAAGATTTTCTGTGTTTTACTCACTGAGATTTGTAGTAAGTAGCGTAGTTCGAGTTCACTCCTGGAGCAAATGTTTGAACTGCTGAAATAACTGCCATTTCTGGTGATGCACATACACAAACCCTCAACTGTTGAACATGACTCAATTTGCAGCCCTCCTGAAGAAACCTTCAAAGATCTGTGCCTTACAGGAATGTCTGACTGTCATAGCGTTCAAAAAATTTTTGAATTTTCCCACCAAAATACTATATGACTACCAACCTACTTCTCTCTTCCTAAATCACTTCTTTTACATTCATAGTTGTTGAACACATGGAGTCTAGTAAAAAGCAGTCTTATTTCCAAACTCAGCTCCTCTAATTAATAAGCTTGTCTGCTAACAGCAAGAGGGTGACATCCCTAGATGAAGGGATGGATGACCAGATAGAAAACAATATGCAGGCTTCATCACCCTTACGTCTCTATAACCATAAAAATCCCATTTTGTATAGAATTGTTTAGTTTGGAAAAGACCTTTAAGATCATCAAGTCCATTAACCTAGCACTGCCAAGTCCACCACTAAACCATGTCCTTGACTACCACATCTACTCGTCTTTTAAATACCTCCAGGGATGGTGATTCCACCACTCCCCTGGGCAGCCTGTTCCAATGCTTGACAACCCTGTAGGTGAAGAAATTTTTCCTAATAACAAATCTAAACCTCCCCAGGTGCAACTTGAGGCTGTTTACTCTTGTTCCATCATGCTGTATCAAGCTAGATGTTTTTGATTGGTCCAAACAATGTATGACAGCCAAGATGCTTTAAAGAGCTCTCACAACAATTCTGCCAAAGAAACAAACTGGAACATCTATAGTGTGAGTTTACTGCATGTTTCACTTCTCCAATGCATCCATTCTTCCCTCTTAGTTTAGAAAACAGCTCACTCAGTCACTTTTATTTTTCCCCTTGTCTTTTTTTAACATGCTGTTGATTGAATCAATAGCACATCTATATGGTCAATAGCATTCAAGAGATTTGTCAGAACTTGCTTTTTACTTAGCTAACCAAAAGAATACTAAATACAGTATAAAACAATTCTAAGATACAGATAAAATATTTTCTGGAAGCTTTATGCTGTTCTGCTTTGCATTTCTGTTTACTACTTTTTACTTCAGTGGAACCCATTTATTTTTCATATACACACCTCATTAACGCTCTGCATTGCTACCTCTGTATGTTGCACAACTACAGTACAGCTAAGTAATACTTCAGGAAGTTGGTGGCCTGTTTATCTGACCTGGTGTAACACCAGTACACTTAACAGCTACATTTTACGTAAGGATTCCACCCAACTACAAGTATCTCATTTGAAGACTTCACAGAAGTTCGGTTTTCATTACAGAAGCCACACCCACCTTTGTATATTAAAATAAGTAAATATGGACTTTGGTATGCGTAACATAACTTCAATCACTGGTAATAAAAATTCTCACTTGTTTCTTGCTTTAAAAAAACAAGAAGCTCACCAATGTCACAGTATCACAGAATGATGTGGGGTTGGAAGGGACCTCTGGAGATCATCTAGTCCAAACCCTCACATCCAAACCTAGAGCAGGTTGTACAGGAATGCATCCAGGCAGGTTTTGAATGTCTCCAGAGACAGAGACTCCACCACCTCCCAGGGCAGCCTGTTCCAGGGCTCTGCAACCCTCAAAGCAAAGAAGTTCCTCCTCGTGTTTAGATGGAGCTTCCTATGTTCAAGTTTGTGCCCATTGCTTCTTGCCTGTCACTGAGCATCACTGAAAAAAGACTGGCCCCACCCTCCTGACACCCACCCTTTAAGTATTTTTAGGTGTTGATCAATGTCATAGGCTCTTATATAATAAAGTAACAAACAACTATTACAAAATACTAAGAGATACTAGTTATTCGTTTTAGCTCTGGCTGCTCCACTTCCACAAGAGACAAAACTGAGGCACAGGGACTCCATTATTTCCTAAATCTAAACATGAAGTCACCAGGTTATAAGTTTTCTAAAATCTTGCACTAAACCTGAAAGTCCCTTGTCCGCTACTATTCAGAGTATTTTGGATAAGGAGATAGATAATAGCCTGCTTTCTGTTTAAGCCATTCAAACAGTACCAGAATCAAAAGTAAACTCGGGAAATTGGGTTTGGATTAATTAGAAAGCAGTGGAAGGGTTTTTCAAGGCTGCTTGCTGAGTTCCAGAACTGTACACCAGCATACAAGTACTAACTTTTCTCTAAATAGGACTTAGTATCAGAAATTGAAGGGATCAGAAATAAGCTTAAATGCCATCCAATTGAAACAGTTGTCACCTTATTGCTATTTTCATGATAACACGTAGTAAATCTGCCAAAGCGGGAATCAGTTATACAAAGTCTCTATGTCTAACAGCATTCAAGAACTATCAGCAAAATATTTTCCTCTATATGAGGCAGAAAAGAGAAATGTTAATACTTTAAAATACTTAATGTAATTTAAAAAAGCACTTTAGAACTGTCGGGTATAACAAACAGCAAAGGCTAGTTTACCATTAAAGGTGCACAATACGAAAGCACAGTAAGACAAGGCTCCCCACCGTTCCTAGGACACATCCATATTGTAAAGCATTTGATGATGGCCAATTCAAATATTGCTCTTTGATTTAGTCTGCTGCTGCTGAACTTCTTCAAATTGTCAATCAACTCAACTACATTTCAGTCACCGATTATAAGCATTTGCATGGAATCTTTCTGAAACAATCCTGCCAAAAAGGGTCACTGTACAAAGCAGTAGACCCAAAGCAGCATTTTTCCTTCAGGGTAGGATATTATGATCATGATACACAATATCATTATATAATGAAGTTTACAGAGAACGACCAGCAGACAGAGACAGAAAATAAGGAAATACCCTAGTTGCCACAATCTTCTATTTATACCTGTACAAGCCCCTTACTGTCACCTAGCTCTCAGCTACTACATGATACAGGAATATATATATTATACTCTGAAAATGTGCTGAAAGGTTATGTTCCATTAATGACTGTGAAGCACTTGGATATACCCCAGTATGTTCCAAAGAAAGAAATCAGTCCTCAATATACAGGCATCTCAAATAAAAGTACTGTCAGTCACATACGACTGACCAGAAATTTCTTCAGTCTTCAGGACCCCTTGTTCCTTTTGAGATACAGAATACAAATTATATCTGGGGTGTTTGGTTTTTTTTCATACGTTTACTGTGACCATGAAGTTTAACATTAAAGTTTGCCAAGACAAGCTAAAAGGGTAAAACTTGAGTAAAGGATACCCATTTCATGTAGTCTTAACAGGCTCTTCTGTAGAATGGGGATGCGTACACAGGCATTAATGTCACCATTTAGAAACAGATGCCGCCAAGTAGTCTTTTGGAGACATAGAGGAGGCAAGAGCTGGATATTAAAGAAGAAAATGAGCAAACCAATTAACTCATTTTCAAAAGCAAAATAATTTGTTTAGTATTTTAAAATATCAAATAAATTACAAGAAAGACATATTCTTAACAGTAAGTTTCTGTTGGGATTTGATCCTCTTCTGCAGTTATTCACTTACAATGGCATCAATCTGTTCCAGGATCTTCATGAACTGCTCTGCAGTTCCTTTTATCCTCTTGTCCAGCTGTTTTAGTGCTTCTGCTTGGAGATTCTTTGCTAAAAATCCCTGAGGAGCAAAAAGACGGAAGAAAAAAATATTCCATACCCTACAGAAGACTCATCTTAGAAAATCTGTCAATCCACTACAGCAGAAAACATCTTTTACTATTTCTGTAGTTTCAAGTATGACAGAGACTCCAACCTCAACCTGTATTCTATCAATCCTTGAAATGCTAAATATAAGATCTGCTAGTTTTACTTAAAAGATCAAACAAGTAACAGACATTCTTCTTTGGACTTTGAGAGAATTCTTAATGTTTTTTTCAGATCTAAAGAATATAATTTAACTAATATGAAACAATATTTACCTTTTTTCCAAACAGTGCCATGTCTCTATTTTGCAAACTCATAAATAGCATTTGAAACTCTGTAAGAATTCTACAGGCCCCTTAAGAGAGCTATTACTGACTACTTAAAATAGTATTTTTTTAAAATACATATGCCTACAAAACTGTTTTGTGAAGACACAAAATGATACAAAACTGGCATACCTTCTGGATACCCGTGAACTCTTTATTAACTTCCTCTAACTTATTAGCTATTTGCTCCACTGATTTCTCCAAATCTTTTAACTTCTTTAATTCAGCCTCTTCTTCTGGACTATTCTGTGTATGCAAAAGTACAACATTCACAACTATGAAACAAATAGAGACACTATGCAGCTAAGAAGCAGCAATAGTGGTGATACAGACATAAAGGCTTCTGCTGATTCAAAACACATACTACACTGTGGTTATACTTTCCATATACAGTTAAAGCAGCAATGTATATAAACACAATGAATGAAATTAATTTGAAAGGAAAAGTGCAAACTTTTTTTTTTTTGTTGTTAGCTTAGCATCTTTAAAGTACAGGTAGCAATTCTATCATGAGTTATTACGCTTTGGTAATATCTCTACTTGGCAAAGCCAGGTACAAATCATTTCAGCAGAAATAACCCAGCAAACTCACTACAACCTTTTTTTTTTTTTTTTTTTAACCCAGAAAAATAAGATGAGCAGATAAAGTCATCAGTGCACAGAAGGTTCATGAGCACTGACAAGCAACAGGTTAGGCAGAATTTTGTCAATGACGTAAGGCAGAAGTCAGTCAATAATGTAATTTCAGAAATGCACACACTGCAGAGTTATTTGCAGTACAACATCAGACTGAACTCAACTCTGAGGGTAGGTATACAAATTAGGTTTATGCTGTAACCTGTTTCTGTGTTCAGCAGCTGAACCATGAACATAAACTAAGATAATTTAAGAAAAAAAAGGTCCAAAGGCAACACTTACCCTTTTCCCAATCAACATGACTTTGCAACCATTTTTAACACCAAGTGCTGACAATGGTTGTTCCAATTCTTTCAGAGACTTCCCTAAATGGGAAACGAAAAAGGAAAAAAAAAACAAACCAACAGTTAAAATATAGTTAGTGGCATAAGAATGTCTTTTTGAAGACATTCAAAACATGGATACCTGATAGTGATGAAGATGAAAGGCGTCATCTATAAGAAACTGACAGATTTCTAAGTTACCTTTGTATATCAGTTTCTGAAAAGGAACTGGAACTCCAGTGACTTGTTCAATAAGTACAGCCATGTCTTGCAGTGTAGGTTCACCATCTTCCTGTTGAGAAGCAACCTGAATACTGTGTTTTTCGTTACCTAACAAAAGACAGAGTAACAGTATACTCATTGTTACCTAGAACACAATACAAAGAATACATTTCTAATATTTATTTCCATTAATGCAGAAAGTTTTCAAATCATCAATTCTCACGTAGAATTATAATTTTCAATCAAAGGATTCTATTGCATTTCCTTCTTCTTGGAGTGACCTACCTCAGCTGAAAATTCTGTTTTACATTCTAGTAACCTACAGTGTTTGATCAGGCATAACGCTCCTGCTAAATATTATTCCTCATCTCTTTTTAAGAGTGCAGATGGTGTCCTGACATAAAGCATGAAAGCCCACACCTTGCTGTTGTATTCCATTTCCTACTTGTTGGAACTTTTAATGGTACGAGTCTAGGGAAATCTGAGACAATTTAGCATACATGAGAAGCAAGTGATTAATGTTTACCCTGTCTCCCCTCCACCAGCGACCTGAGAGAATTCTCATAGTCCAAAAGTTATTTCTTCCCATAATACTGCTGAAATGCAGCCTTAACTACTTTGAGACGACTCAGCTTATATGTCACCTTCCACTTATGGAGCATCCTATTCAGACTCCCTAAGATTACTTGCATGCAAACAGCAGGAAGTTCTTAGAAAAAAAAAAGGAGTATGTCTGTTAATCTCCACTTTGCAATAGACCCTTTCTACAACCCCCTGCTCCCACACACTTAAGGCCTGTCAATCTGAAAGCATCCACAGGAATCAGCCACTACTGGCTGCAAGGGAAGGCAAGACACGCATTTTCTACTTTGCAAGAAGAAAGAACTTCTTATTAAATACCAGAAAAAAAAAAACTGTTCTCATGCCACTAATTTAAAGTGCACATATCTTTTATGAAGAAGAGTGCTAGAAATATTGATTTTAAAATGTTCCAACCTCCCAGCATCACATGACAACTGACACTGTGGCCTCAAAAACTTGCAAGCTCCAACGTTTCTTAATTACAAATGGTTTTAAGCTCAAAATCACATTTTACAAACTCTCCCTCAAGCATTTTCCACGAACAGACCTTCTTCCCAATTTTTTTGAAAAACAGGACAATTCAATATCTTGCAGACTGTCAAGTGATACATGTGGGTCTACTTAACGCTCTCTTTCTTAACTCTTATTTCCATCTTTCCCCACTTTCACTCATGCATGCAAAACTTTAATAACAATGTTTGCACTGAGTAGTAAGCCAGCACCTGACAGCCACAGGTATAAATCAGACAGCTGAAGTCCAAGATGAAGGGTCCCTTCTATTTGCTATTTATTAATGACAAAGTAATTACTAGATAAGAAAACAACTGGAAAGATAAAAACCATTCTCAGGTAGGACAACTGTTGGTAAGCAGCAAGATGCTGGAACTATAAATACATTAATATCGTTAAGTTATTGTCGTCTTTGCAAATGAAAACCCCTCAGGTCAAATGGAATGCTCCAAGGTGTTAATAAGCACATGAATCATGAAGATTCAAACAGATTATTCCACAAAGTTAGTCACTAAAGGCTCTTATGTAAAACTCCCAGGTGAGAAAGGAAACATTTTCACAAAAGAATGTAAGTTTGAAAACACAAATGAGCAAGCAGAAATAAACAACAAGGTCTAAAGGTGGACAGAATGTCACCACCGTTGTGCAAAAGGAACAGGAACAGAATTTATTATTCAATAATTAAAAAAAAATATATCTATAAACCCCAAAGTTTTGTTAACAAAAATCAGCTAATGAATACCTTGCTGATTTCATGCCTTACTGTCCTCCTTATTCCTCCTACTGCCTCAACTAGATCCACTTCAAAATTTAACCATGGTATTTCCCACCTTATTTTTAAGAACTGTGGAGCCCAGGCTATTCTTAACTCTTTGCGGTAACTTTTTATATTTAACCACATCTTCCCTTCCACCTTCTTCTCCTTCCCCCTATTTCTCTTCCCAACGGAAAAAATCTCAATCATGCCAGCTGGCCTTCGAGTAACCCACTTCACCAGGTCAGCACCCAACTGATGAAACCAAAACCTTCTGTTGCAATCTTGCAAAGGTTCATGCTTATTGAACAACCGAGACGGCAGCCCCTCGGGTAGAACCTGCTTTTAACACACAGCCCTGGCTTCAGTGAGACGTTTCATCTAAACGAAAAAGTGACATCACCCAAAAAGTGACCTCTGCTCAGTGCTCTCCGGCAAGGACAGCCTTGTCACCTGCTGCCACCATCACCCTCACAGCAGATCTACCCCCGTGCGACAAGTATGATCATCCTGTTGATATGGAAAAGGCTTTTTTTTTTTTTTTAACCCTTCTAATGGATCAGTTTAAGGGAGAGAGTAGGGAGATGTGGCCAGTGGAGGCGCGGAGCCTTACGGCCGGAGGCAGCCCCGAGGCCAGGCTAAGCGGAGGGCGAGCCGAACCCCCCCGAGGCCGAGGCAGGCCCGACCGCTGGCCCATCGAGCCCGGGGACGCTGCCGCCCCCCAGCCGACGGCCCCGCCATTTTCCGTCTCCTCGAGGCTTTGCGGAGCCGCAGCCGCTCGGGCGCCAAAGGCAGTCACGCAGCCCCCGCACCGCTCCGGGCCGCCGCCGGGCGCCTTTCCGCCTCATCCATACCGCCGGGGGCAGGTGCGGGCCCGCCCCGCCGTGCCGGGCTACCGTTACCGGCCGTGGGGCGCGGGGGCGGCGGGGGAAGGGCGGCCGCGCGGCCCGACCGGCACGGTCCCGGCGGTGAGAGGTGGCGGGGGAGACGCCGCGGGCCGCGCTCCGCTCGGTTGGCTGTAGGAATCCCCCTCCCCGGGCGGCTCTTACTGTAAGTGACGGTGACGGTAACGGGGGCTCCGGGCGCCGCCATCTCACACCGCCACAGGGAAACCCTCCCGCGGGCGCCTGGCGGGGCGCGCCGGCAGCGCGTCACTTCCGCTCCTCGGGTAGGCGGGAGAGGGGCGTGGGGCGGAAGTGACGTTGCCGGGTGAGCGGGGACGGGGGCCTCGCACAGGGGTGACGTATGACGACGTCACCGGCGGG